AAAAGCCAAACAAATATCCATCCCATCTCCCTCCTATAGGGAGGCTGCACTCCTCTGAGCCCTGACCAGCCACTTCTTTCCTCTTTGATGTCCCACAGGTAAAACCTACCCTGTGTGTACACTCACTGCACAGATGGGCCATATCCTGCAATACTACAGGATGGAATCCATGTCCAGCCTCTCATGTGCCACCTCTGTAAGAATCCATGGACACTTCAGTTGCATTATGCTCACATGTTCCTAGAAGCCACGAAAAGCTGCTAGAAAAGTTTTGCTCCATCATTTCTCAAAAGTGTTTCCTAAGTCAGCCAGGAAGCTTTCAGGCTCAGATCCCTTCCTCTCTCTGAAGGTTGGTTCATGCTGCCTGCTGCCTAAGCCATGAGGCCTGCTGCTGAATTCCTTGAAGCTTCATCCTTTGACTGGGATCCTGGAATTAACTTTAATCAATGCCCCTCTCAGTTCTTAAGTTTCATAAAAAAATACCTTTGTTAGCTGCAGCATCTCATTCAACATCTAACTCTGCCCAATTTTTATTTTTAGAGCCCTTCATGACCTTGATCCTCTGTACACAGGATGTCCAGGTGTCAGCAGGTAATGTCTTTATTCTTGTATTTAAATACATGCTGAGCTGGGCAGAGGACAAGGGCCCTCACCTGGGAGCTGTCATGGCTGAAGATGACAGAGCCGAGGTCCCCACAGTTATAGTGTTTGATGAGATCCTCCGTCGTGTACGGAATCTGAAGACTGCCTGCTCGCAGGCTCTCCTGCTGCAGGAGGGTCTGGTTCAAAGCAAAGATGACCTGAAAGAGAGTGGAGGAAACATAGGTCCCTTTAAGTTCATGGACACAGCAATCAGTAGCTGCCGTCTTATTTCTTCTGTCCATGTTTGACAATAGCCTCACCCCTGTGACACTGCTGTTAAAAAAGGGAACACAGGGGGCCAGCCTAGTGGCTCAGTTGGTTAAGAGCTCGCTCAAGAGTGCGAGCTCTGAGCGACAGGGTCGCTGGTTTGATTCACGGCCGGAACTGAGCTGCCACTGAGCTGCCAACAGGTGGCAGGATGGCTCAGAAAAAAAAAAAAAAAAAAAAGGAACACAAATTCCTGGTTGGTGTCCAAAGAAAAGGAGGACAGCCCTGACCAAGTCAACCCCCATTGGATCACACCTGGGGACGTGTCTGAAGAGGGAGAGAGACAACCTTACCCACAAGAGTAACCAAGAGGTGAGGAGACCCAAAGAGCAAGCTTGTGAGGAATGACTGAAGAAGCTGAGGAAGGGGTGCGTGGAGGTGTTCTTGGTATTAGAGACGATTGAGCCATTCATTTTATTTTTATTTTTTTATTTTTTTAAAGATTTTATTGGGGAATTGGGAGAGGGGAACAGACAAGTTGCTGTCCCTCTCTGTTCCTCAGTCTAGGTGTGGAGGACATCACTTCACTGGCCCATGCTGGCACCACCATTGCGCTCT